GCAGAACTGCTTGCGTCGGGACTTTACAATAAATGGGTCTGTTAACTATGTTTACTATTTTTCAGATTCATTCTATTTATTTGTATTCTTTTTACTGTGGTTTTGGTGAGGGTTGGCAAACAGGACTAGAGGTTATATATTATTGGCATTTCCCTCTTTGAAAGATTAAAAATCTGATTATTGCATGTTCCTTCATTGGTTTGGTGGAGGATAGAAAATGGAGGCATTGTTCCTAAAGATTAGAAAACATCTTTCAACCTTCTAAAACCCGAGTGCCACGGAAACTTTTTCCTTCCATATTTTATTCTAGTACCATCACTCTATCTGTTGAACCTTTCTTTTTTGAGGGGTGAGCTACAGAAGGACAAAGGACTTTTAAGATTTCTTATAAATCCGTTTCTTGCAGCACACTTACATTTGTATTTTCCTCTCTTTTTGTTCAGGTTGATGTTTGACCCGTATGCAAAACTAGTCTATGATTACACAGGTGGAGTCGAAGATATCAGGAGAGCTAAAGTGTGCAAAATTTATTTTTCTTTTTCTAACTTCATTTAGCTTGTTATCTCTGCTGTGCAGTTGCTTAACCATTTTCTTTGACAGGTCCAAACCATAATTCCTGCTAGTTTCTCTTTAATGGAGGACAGTGGTAAGTTCTTTCTTTCATATATAATGAAGAATTTTCACTTAATGGTATTTCTAACTCAATTTATTCTGTCTGTGGACATTAATAACATCTCTTTTTTATTTTTTTTTATGCGGGATTTACTTTTGCAGCTCGTATTCTTCGTGCAGTTAGAATTGCTGCACGTTTAGGATTTTGTTTTCAAAGAGAAATGGCTCTTACTATTAAAAACTTATCGAGTTCAGTCCTCAGACTTGATAGGGTATCCACCATGTTTTTATACCATTATATTTATTTTGTGTAATCAAATTCGCAGTGATTTATTCTTTGTATTGGCTAAATATATTCCAGGGAAGGCTCCTCATGGAAATGATTACATGCTAGCGTATGGTTCTGCTGAGGCATCACTAAGATTATTGTGGAGATTTGGCCTTCTAGAAATACTTCTACCAATTCAAGTATATTTTGAGTCTGGATGGATTTGTTTGTCAGTATGCTGTTTTGTGTATCCATATCTAAGTACCGTATCCATATCTAAAGTAGCTTTGTTTTGCAGGCAGCATATTTTGTTCGACATGGATTTAGAAGACGTGATAAGAGGTCCAATTTTCTGTTGGTAATTTTTTTTTAGTAAATTAATTTTGTCCCATAATATTGATTTACATATTTACTTATGCATACACACACATGACATTTTTGTTAATTCATTTTTAAGTTGAATAATTTCACCTGGACCCCCTGAAGTTTCTGGCTGTAACACTTGCACACCCTATTGTTTCGTAAATTACATTTAAACCCCTAGGAATTTCATTTTATTCCATAGTTTGAAAATTTTGAATTGTATTTTCATTTTGGCCCTTGAAGTCAATTTTCATTTCTTATTTATTATGGTCCTAGTTTCCATCCATTACTATCTTTTTTTATTCTCATTATCAACTTTTCTATTAAAAATTATGTTTCTAAAAAAAAAAAGTTTTTGCCCAAAAAGTTATTCATAGTATGTAAGTATATGGCTATCTTAACTTTTCTATTATTATGGACAGTTAAATGGTTTTCATTTAGTTTTGTTTAAGCAATTAACTTGGTGCTAATTCATTTTATTTCCTCTATGAAGCAAATAATAACTTTAATCTTGCATGTTTTCAATGCATGTAATCTGCCTGGGTTGGGATTTTTGGGCAATTGTAGGTGGTGGGTCAAGGGTGGGTGTCAAAAGGTTTACTCTTTTTTGGTGTAGGTCTGAGGTGAATTTAAAAAAGACTGACCTATCCTCTATCTCAATCATTGTGTAATTAATTTTTTTTTAATTTAATAAACTATTATATTATTTATTTTGGAAAAATATTTTATTAAATTTTGTTGAGACCAATGCATACAATACAAGTTGAACCCATGTTACAACATAAGAGCTCAAAATGGTCAAGATTATTGTTGCATATGGATCTTTAAGTCCAATCTTATATAGGGAATTAGGAAGGGTTGGGTGGGGGTGGGGGGGGGGGGGGTGTAATTACCCATTGCCATCCCTCATTGAGATGGTGACAGACTAGGAAGATGTAGAGGTGCTTGTATACATATAAAAAAATATTTAGAGTGAAAATACTTTTTGTTCATTTAGATTTGTACGTGAGGTTTATTAAATTCTTATTTTATATGTTCCATACAACAGTAAATTTGATAAATGAAAATAAATATTAGTGACAAGTATGAAGCATAATTTAATGTAGAATGCAACTCAAAGATAAAGAACATTTTGAATTTGTCTGGACTCTAAGCATAGTTAATTTGTTTGTTTGTTTGTTTGTTTGTTTTTTTTTTTTTTTCTGCAGAGTTTGTTTTCCAATTTGGACGAACTACTTGCACCTGATAGGCCATGCCACAATTCCTTATGGTGAGATTTATAAACTAAGACTTGATAGTTATAAAGACAGTGATATTGACAAGTGGGATAATATGATTTAGTGACTGGTGACTGCCAATATCCACATGAAAGGGGCTTTTAAAATTCTTATTGGAACTGAAAGAATTGACAAATTAATTTGTGAAGTGTCGTGCAAATGATATTTGGCACTATTGGTATTAATTATGAATGTAATTCAGTCAAGTCTGAATAGTTAAAGATTAAGCTAGACTTGATACAAAATTCAGAACTTGAATCTTGGCTAAAACTTGGCCAAGCATAATTTTTTGAACTTGAGCTCAACGTGATTCAAACTTCTAGTTTAGATTGAATAGACTTGATGGCAAAGTCATTTTTTTCTTTTTTTTTCTCCAGATATATTTTAGGCATAATTGATTATATGAATATAATTGAGTAAATTAGTAATTTATATTTATATTATATATAAATATGAAAAATCTTCGTAAAATTTGCAAGCTACTTGAGTCAAGCATTAAGATACTTGAATTTGGCTACTCATTACTTGTGTAGTTGTGTGGTTTGAGCTCGAGCTTGACTTGATAATAACCAAATCGAATTTGAAAAGAATTGCATCTGAGAAGCCTGTGAATAGCTTGTCTTGCTTAAAACCCCCCTATTATTAAACTATTAACGAATGAGTGGCTGTTGTGTTAGTTACACTAGAATAAAATGTGGCTTTCATTAAAGTTAAAATAGAAACACATGCGCAGACACATATTGTCGAGTCCAGCAAAGCTCTATAGCTATGGGTAATATTTGATGTTGTGGATTTATGAGCGTTACAGAATAATTGGGTTCTATAGGAGGGTATTCGATCTTGTGCTTGGTGGTTCTCTCTTTAATGTTCACTACAGGAATTGTTGTTCGTTTTTGTTGTCCTTGTTTCATTCAATCTTAGTACAATCCGCTTACTGTGTTTTTTATATCAGTCAAATAAGCTTGTCTATGGGGGTAATCCCAGTCAAGATGGTTAAGGATATAGACTTGTAATCACAAGGTCACAAGTTCGAATCCCAAGCTTCTTGGTTTGAGCCGGTCAGCTATGGGTAACCTAGGTCCTTGTGGTCCTTTGCCGGCTAGGGTCACAACTCACAAGGTGGAGTTTACCCCCATGCACACCCTCGGGTCGTTGCTGGGAATTTCCCTTGTCACCCCAAAAAATAAGCTTGTCTGATGTCTTTTTTACCAGGGTTGCAATTTTAGCATTTCATAAAGCGCTGTCAGAGCAAGCAAGGGATCCTTTAGTTGTTGCTGCATTTTGCCTTGGCGTGCACAATGGCGGAGATTTAACCGAAGCTTCAAGTATAGCTGGAAAGATCTCCAGACAACACGAAAGCTGCTTTCCTGAACTGCTGGAGCACCAGCATCTGGACTCAGCGGCACTTAAAGATGAAGTAGTGGATTTGGCACTATCGGTCCAAAGAGCATTGACTGCCATTACAGATGACTATTTTGTCTCGAGGGCAATGGCCGAGTACTCCAAAGTGCCATATTCAGACGTAGTAAGTTAATTAAATTACTCCCACCCCTTCCCCCCCAAACATCTTATCGCACTTCTATCTCTGCAGATTATACACAACACAAGCGGTTGAGTATTTTGCTTCAAATGCGTGCAGGTATTTGTCCCATTGACCCTATACTTGAGAGTGGGCAGGATCTTTGAATGTGTTCGGTTTGGAAAGGAAAAAGGGTTTGTGGGGAAGCAAGGAAGGAAGATCAATTATGAGCTGTTAGCATCTGGGAGCCTACAGGAAGTTCGGCATGTATTTGCGAGGGTTGTTTTCGATACAATATATCCATTAAGCCTTGGTAAAGATGAAACATAACTAAATTTTGTATTGTTGTTGTTAGTCGTCTCACATGGTAATTGGTAGGTGTGGAATAGAAAGTATAGAAATATTGTAGCTTTGGCCATAATGGGCAATTTTGTGCTTTGTTGATTCAACAATTTTGAGTTTCAGATTGTCAATGCTAGGCTTTTAATATATCACAACAGTTAAAATAGGGTCAAGGCCAAGAGAATGGGAATGTTTAGCACACAAGGTATATCACAAGGTTTTGTCATTTATACAAATAGATAATTGAATTAATCCCGAGTTAATTAGATGAACATTATTATTAAAAAGAATTCATTGTTGTAATATCATGATAGAATGAAGTGAAAATGGTCAAATTGTATATGAAATACATGAAATACGGAGTAACAATTAGGTCTTTAAATTATAAAAGATTTTAATTTGACACTTCAACTCTGATTAATTGGTTACCAAAAACTTTTTATAATTTAAAGGCCTAATTACTATTTGGAGTATAACTTAAAGGTGTATTTGATCCTAGGATGAATTTTAGAAAGTTATTGTATGAGAAAAATGTAGTGAGATTTTAAATCATAGAGATGCTATGTGTAAAAGCTAATGGCTTGAATTTTTGTATTAAGTAGATACTTTAAAAGGTTACTAAAGGAAAATGTAATTATACTTTATATAGATATATTCTGATTGTAATTGTACATAGTATTTCTAAATATTCAACTATAAAAAAAAAAAAAAAAAAAAAAGAATAAAAAAAAAAAAAAAAGGTGTAATTAAATTATAGGAGTTGTGAAGACATAAGATAAATTGCAGGTTAGAAGCAATTGATTGATCTTCAACTTTTGCTTCGGCTTCTCAGAGGAGTTTCTTCGTCTTCTACCAGTCTGCTCTTCAATTCAAAAACACATAGGGAAAGAATAATACATTTGGGAGCTTTAATTTGGCTTGTTTTTCATATCCAAAAGTTGGTCAATCAGCTGTAGACAAAAACAGGAAAAGGGTAATGGGACACATGCAAGCATAAAAAAAGGATTGGGGAAGGGATAACCCCAGCCAAGATGACTAAAGATATAGGCTTGTAATCACAAAATCACGAGTTCAAATATCAACTTTCTTAGTTTGAACCGGTCAACTTTAGAAAACCTAGGTTGGTTTATCTCCTTGTGACCAATATTTTATTTTATATTCTATCTTGACAATCATTGACCATGCTTATTGTTGAGCATATATAATTAATATATAAACATAAATAAATGTGCAATCCTATTATGAACTTAGACTTTTAGTTGAGATGGAACATCCTTCAATTTAGTATCAGAGTCAATCACATATCAAAGGGCTCAACTACAACAATCACACTTCACTTCAGGAGATCAAATTAGGAAATAGCAATCATTGCCCGGAGGGGCTTATGATATAAAAGGAGCAAGAAATCACCTACTTCCAAGTAGATTCTCCGATGAATGATCAGTTGGTGAAATAGTAGAGTGATGCCAGACATATCAAGAAATCGGTCAGAAGAAGACCCAAAGCATCAAAAACAAATTTTGGAGCAAATAATCCCCATACCTGCACCAAAATGTAGTTAGTGTATGCCAATGATGGAATTCAATCAAGATAAGTTGTTAAAAAATTACGACCTAACAAAAATTAGAGGTAAGGGATACCATCAAATGCCGTCTTTGTATTGCAACAGATAAGATAGTAAGCGTTGTGGTTGTAGCCAAAGTAAGTCCATAAATCAAATATACCTGAAAATAAGTAACAGGAAGAACCCAACTACTTCAGAAACTGTTTTCGAAAGTTGTATCCAACTAATGAATTGCTGATGCATATAATATATTTAGAGATAAAGCTTACTTGTAACAAGTTAATGTAAAATACTTGCTTCTTCTGGTCTGTTTTCTTCAAAGGACGTTGGCAGGCAACAAGAAATGGAAGTCCAATAATTGGAACAATGTGAGAAAAGCCGAAGGTGTCAATAGTTAGTAGGATAGCTTGGCGAACAAGGTTGAATTCATCAAACCTGGAACAAATAGATAAAGAAGAAAATAGTAAACTAGAAAAGAACTATGCTCCATTTTCATTCAAATAAAAATCAGCTCCTTTCCCCATCCACTCACATAGATAAAGAAGAAAATGGTAAACTATAAATCGATAATAAAGGTATCAAGGACCTTGTGGTCCACTGGTATCCGGTTGCTCCCTTATATGGGAGGTCTAGGGTTCAAGCCTCGGTGTAGGTGTAGATTGTAAATGTGGGTACCCCCTTCCTTTGTAATTAAAAAAATAAAAAATTGACAATAAAGGTTAATAAGGATACACAATTGTTCTCTTACCCAACAAAAGCAGCAGGATACCGGAGCCCATCAAACGTACACCTGGACAAGAAATATTATTCCATGAAGCAGCACAACAGAGCAACAAATCTGGAAGGAGATGGGTATGTTTTCCTTTTGAAATAGAGTAGATAATCACAACTGGTCACATACTTGAAAGAGAGTTGGAACTAGTTGGCGCCATGATAAAATTTTACAGAACAAAATTAGAGAAACCTTTCAAAAGCTCACTTGCACTTGCTTGGTGCAGTTATTTATTTATTTTTATTTTTTATTTTTTTTACAATAGTAACTGAATTTTATATCAATGTGCATAGGCACCAGGAGAAAAGAATATCTTACCAGTGACCAGTGCAGAAAAATAGACACACAGCTAATAGGCTCCATTTGGTTACTGGAGGGGAATACAATGTTGAACCCACAGTTTCTTCTAATCTCATCAGCCTAAGTATGCACCAACCTATGTAAGAAAATTTATTTACATAACATCAAGGCTGTCATAATTACAAAAGATCTTTGTCATTTAAAAACACGACAGGCACACTGGGCAATGGAATTGAATTCAACTTCCAAGACCAAAATTATAAAAAGAGCATGCACCTTCAACCACTGCTACTAAAGCAACCAAAGGCCCTTGCTTTCCAGATAGAATGATGATTGTTGAACTCCAAGCGAATAACATTGACAATGTTTTAGTATTGCATCTCTCCCAATCGGAGGTCCTCTGTTTACCAGAACATCGAGCAGTAGCCAAAAATGAAACTTGCAAAATACCTAAAAGATAGACTATTCGGGGAATCCAGTTTCCTTTAGAGCTGCCATTCGTCATGCTTAAACCAAACAAGTTAGTGTCCATAGCCCAATCTACAGCCATAAGCAAATAGCTACATATAGTTCCTGCAACAATATACTTTGAAATGCCCTGATAGGAGCTCTTGTATACTATAAATGCTAAAAACAAAAGAGCTAGTATTGGTAAGAGATCAGCCGCATAAATCCAGAATTTAGTATCTTTGTCAAATCCTAGAGTCCATGAAGGAAACGTCTTCAAAAATAATGAATTGACTGCCTGCTTTGACTGCCCTACTTCAATTCCAAATCTGAGGAATGGGACCAGGAAAACAAAAAGTAGAGCCTGTAGGGTCACAGAAACAAAGTAAAATATTAGGCTAGAGTTTTCAGGGCTTCTTTTGTCAGTATCAGCTACAAAAAGAAGACAGTTGTCTCTTAGCTTCAGAGATACAATCTGGCAGCAGCAGCATGAGGACCAAGGAAGGTGCTTTTTCGTAAAAAAAAAAAAAAAAAAAAAAAAAAAAAAAAAAAAAAAAAAAAAAAGAAAGAGACAATGGGATTTCACTAAGGTTAAGAAAGGTTTAGGGAATTGGGCTCTTTTAAGTATTGGACCTTTGTATGATGATGTAAATTATCAGGTTATTGAATTCGGTTAGGATTGTTCTGAATATTGTAATGGACTAATGAGCCTTTCTTGTAAGTGCATGTCCATAAACTTATTGTTCTGAATATTGTATACCTATGGTGCATTTCAATAAACTTATATATGTAGTAAAAAATCTTTAAAACCATAGCAAATACTTACTTCTGATTGCATCTTCTTAGCAGCTATTGCTTGGCGTAACTGAAGAATTCCAGTTGTTGCTAAAAGAAAACTAGCCACTTTGCCTTCTTCCACTGGAACCCAGAGAGCAGATATATACATTAAACAAAATAAAGAGATGAAAAAGACCCTAATTGATGGAAAGGACTATGCATCAATTCAGTGAGCAAATTTTGGGTGGATAAGAAACTTACAAATGAAACTGTTTGAAAGAAAACTAAATGCCCGGATCAAGACAGTAATATAAGCAAAAGTAACCTCAAAGGATATCCTAAAGTTGCCGCAGTAAGGAAAATGCAATCCACATTGCTTGTTCAACTTCGTGATGATGATGACATGGAGAAGAAGAGAAAGCAACATTATGACAAAACCAGCACCCATCATCTTTAAATTAAATTCTGTCCATTTTGATCGGGCTAGAGTAGTAATACTAGCCAAAATATTAGAATAAGCATTAATTTGCTCCTTGAGTGAAGGTAATGAAGTAGAGCAATTCCCATTTCCACATTGCACTAGAGCATCTTTGGTATGTGACCACATGTTTTGCGCCAGATCATAGAGGTCATCAATATGTGACAAATCTTTGTCTGAAAATCCAATTAGTGATGAAGCTGAATACACATCAATGTAATTCTTCACCTACATCAGTAAATTCATGCGTTGCAGATAAGAAGGCATTCTGTAAAATAAGATGAGTTTATAACATAAACACCACCTGATGCTTCAAAACATATTAGAGAACATAAAACTGATGTTGAAATGCTTGTCTGCTCAATTTCTAGCACCGAAAACATTAAAATCCATATCATGTCTAATATTTTAAACACAACATTGCAAAGTTTCCATTTTCATTTCACAGAGATATGTCAAGGAAGTTAGGAATTAATAAAACACACATCTATGCTGGCTTTAAAATTATTAAAAAAAAAAAAAAAAACATTATGTTCGAAAATAAAAAATTAAAGGAAATTGCTATCAAAAGAAAATAAATCAATCAATTGCTTTTAGAAAGGTCACAGGCTTGACCTCATCCCCTTTAGATGTATTATGTATACCCAAAAGAAACTGTTACCTATGTAAATCCCTTGAATTGCATAAGACTAGTAGCTGGCCAAATATTCCTTAAAGGAGAATGAAGAAAACTACCTGCCATGCATTGATGCAGAGCACATTGACATAATTCTGCATCCACTTCCCCAATTGGTCTTGATGACTACCACCGTCAAAACTTTCTGAATTCCACGTACCAGTGGCTAGTGAATATAGTTCAGCATTAACACGTCCAATGCTGAAAATTAGTGAAACTTGGTAAATCATCATCCAGAAATATCAGAGTATTTGGCACTATCAAGCAATTATTTATTTTCTAATGCGAATTAGTTTACCAACTTCAATGCTAATAACTGTTAAGAGTCAGTCCCACATCTATAAAATAAGAGAGAACATATGGGTTTATAAGGCCATGAGTTAGACTAGCTAATTGGTTGGATTCAATCTTTTAGTGTGGTTTGGCCCATGTGCATTATAGCCCAGTTGAGTGACCATGGCCCAATCTTAAATTATAACATGGTATCAGAGCCTGTTCGGTCCATGTTAGTAGGTTGTTAGAGGAAGTCTCCTAACTACCCATTTGAATTTTGAAATAAGTGGTTAGGAGTTCCCCTTTAGCTTGTATATAAGCATAGGCTTCCTGTACTCTGTTCATTGAGTTTTACGATTGCAATACATATATACACTTCCTTCTTTAGAGTTCAACATGGTATCAGAGCAGTAGATGTGGGTGGTGGGCTTTGGTCGGAACGAGGAGGCGCCGCCGCCGGGAGGATCGGAGCAGTCATCGGAAGGTCCACGCGCCGCCGCACTCCCGGAGCTCCGACGCCACGCGCCGGCGCGTGCGGTGTTCTCCGACCTCGCCTCCGGTCGCCGCCGACGCGGCTGGGATCGTCTCCGTGTGCCCGACACTCCTATATGAATATCTCCGTCCGGTGTTAAGGGGATTTTGAGTGGACTGGTTTCCAGACCTGCGTTGCTGCCAGAGAGTTGAAGCTGTTTTTTCCAGATCTGCTTTGCTGCGTGAGAAGTGAAGCTGGGTTGTGTTTTGTCATCTGCATAGACGTAAAAGCTGCGTTTCCAGGTTGGTCTTTTGTGTGTTTATTATGGCAGAAAATAGGACTATTACAGTGGTGTCAACACAATCTAAATTGGTTGATTTGGTGTTGGCACCTGATGGGTCCAATTTTGGGGAATGGAAGTTCCTAGTTGAAGTGAACTTGAAGGGTATGGGTAAAGCTGGACATTTAGTTGAGACATGTCCGGATGACCCTACCGAAGCCCAAGCGTGGCAGAAAGATGATGACGCATTGTTTTCGCGTATAATAAATTGTATTGATAGGAAGATAATCCTATCTTTACAGCACTGTAAGAGTGCGAAGGAAGTGTGGGAGTTAGTGAATCAGTGGTTTAGCGGGGCAAATAATTTAAGGAAGTTATATCAGTTATCCCAGGATGTTCATCGACCGTCTCAAAAAGGGCGGGACATCAGGGATTACTATTATGACTTCAAGAATGTGAGTGAGGCATTATGTGCTGCTATGCCAATTACTGATAAAGTGGATAAAATGAAGAAACAACGTGATCAATTGCATATTTTTAGTTGGATTTCTGGATTGGATAAGGAGTATGATGTTTTGAAATCACAATTATTGGGGAATAAGGAGTTAGACTCGCTCGACCAAGTTTTTTCTATGGTTCAAAATGCGTCAGTGAATCTTGGTACTGAGAGTACGTTGGAGATTCAAGTCTTTTTCTCACAGGGAGATAGTGGGACTGATAGTCGAGGAGGTCGGTCCAGGGGACGAGGTAGAGGGCGCGGAGGAGGTCGGGGGCAAAGGGCTTGTTATAATTGTGGTGATCCCGGTCATCTGCGTAACCAATGCCCACAACTCTCCGACCATAGGAGGTTTGCTAATTCTGCCTCTAAACCAGAAGGGACGGTTATGATAACTGAGGCAGAGATGGTTTTGTTTAATCAGTTAAAGTTGTCTTCCTCGCAGTCTCCCGCTAGTCCAGGGTCATTGCCGTCTCCGTCAGCTACCTTTGTTCAAACAGGTAATCCTATTGCTTGTGTTTCCTCCTCGTCTCGACAGTGGGTCATTGATTCTGGAGCCAGTGACCACATGTCAGGTAATCTAAGTATGTTTTCCGAATATTGTTCCCTTAAATATGGTCCTACCGTTACCTTAGCAGATGGTTCATCTACCTCTGTTTTAGGTAAAGGTAGTGTGAGTGTTAGTTCGTCGTTACCTCTCAATTCTGTGTTATATCTCCCAAAATTCCCGTTCAATTTATTGTCAATTAGTCAAATTACCCGGGACCTAAATTGTTGTGTCATGTTCTTCCCTGGATATTGTCTGTTTCAGGATCTGTTGACGAAGACGATTATTGGTAAAGGGAAGGAGGTCGGTGGGCTGTACGTGTTAGAGCGGCTGTCCAAAGATTCTGGAGGTGTTCCGGTTGGTTTATTGGGAAATATGTCCCCGTTTCAGTTGCACTCCCGGTATGGTCATCCGCCTTTGTCTGTCTTAAAGAAGTTGTGTCCGGGGTTAGAATCTCTATCTAGCTTGCAATGTGAGTCATGCGAGCTTGCTAAGCATTGTCGGGTGCCATACCCTCCTAGAGTCAATAATAGAGTCGAGTCTTTATTTCAGTTGGTTCACTCAGATATATGGGGGCCATGTCGAGTAGTATCAAAATCTGGGTTTAAATATTTTGTAACTTTTGTAGACGATTTCTCTAGACACACTTGGCTATACCTCATGAAATCTAGAGATGAGTTGTTTGGGATCTTTTGTAATTTCTGTGCGATGGTCAAAACTCAGTTCAATAAAATGATACAGGTGTTGCGGAGTGATAATGGGACTGAGTATTTTTCTCGTTCCTTCTCAAGTTATATGAGTCAGAATGGGATGGTACATCAGTCGTCTTGTGTCAGCACTCCCCAACAGAATGGTGTGGCAGAACGCAAGAACCGCCATCTGTTGGAGGTTGCTAGGGCGTTGTTGTTTCAAATGAAAGTCCCTAGGGTTTACTGGGCAGATGCTGTTCATACAGCGTGTTTCTTAATAAACCGCCTACCTACAAGGGTCCTTGGGGGTCAGAGTCCTTGTCATTTCGTCTATCCATCCAAACCGTTGTTCTGCCTCCCTCCTAAAGTGTTTGGGTGTACGTGTTTTGTCCAGGATGTTCGTCCTCAAAGAGGGAAACTCGACCCTAAGTCATTAAAATGTATTTTCTTGGGATATTCAAGTACTCAAAAAGGGTATCGGTGTTACTCCCCGGATTTGGGGCGATACTTGGTTTCTGCAGATGTCTCATTCTTCGAGAATACTCTATTCAGAGAGGAGTTCTCCAGTTCGTCTGATTGTAGTTCCGAGACAGATGATTTTCTGACATATATTGTTACTATTCCTGACTCCGTAGGAGTGGATTCTAGGCCTCCTGTTACGCAGGTCTATCACAGGCGGCCCAGAGAAGGTGATACGCGTGCAGCCCCACCGGTTCCACCAGTAAATCCTCCCTTACCAGAATCTTCGTCGACAGACCAGGATGTTCCTATCGCTGTTCGGAAAGGTACGCGTCGTTGTGTTCGTCCCATTCCGTCCTTTATGTCATATACCAATTTATCGGCGTCTTCACGTGCTTTTGTGTCCCAGTTAGAGTCTGTTCCTGTTCCGAAATCTTTGAGTCAGGCAATGTCCCATGATGGTTGGAGGCGTGCAATGGTAGAGGAGGTAGACGCCCTTGAGGAGAACCAGACCTGGGATCTAGTACAACTTCCCCCTGGTAAGGTTGCTATTGGGTGTAAATGGGTGTATGTGGTGAAAATGAACCCGGATGGTTCTGTGGCTAGACTCAAAGCGCGCTTGGTGGCAAAGGGGTACGCCCAGACGTATGGTATAGATTATACCGAGACGTTCTCTCCAGTGGCCAAGTTAACTTCTGTGCGGATATTTATCTCTTTGGCAGCTTCGAGTCATTGGCCCTTGCATCAGCTTGATGTGAAGAACGCTTTCCTACATGGCTACTTGCGTGAGGAGGTTTATATGGAGCAACCACCGGGGTTTGTTGCTCAGGGGGAGTCTGGGAAAGTGTGCAAGCTGAAGAGGTCCTTGTATGGGCTGAAGCAGTCTCCGCGTGCGTGGTTTGGGCGGTTTAGCAATGCAGTTGTTGAGTTTGGAATGCAGAGAAGTGCATATGATCATACTGTCTTTTACAAACATACTAACTATGGGTGTGTTTTGTTGATAGTATATGTAGATGATATTGTTATTACAGGCAGTGATGCAAGTGGGATTGAGGCGCTCAAGTCCTTTCTCGGATCTGAGTTCCATACTAAGGATCTGGGAGTGTTGAAGTACTTTCTGGGAATTGAAGTTGCACGCTCTAAGAAAGGCATATTTCTCTCACAGAGGAAATATGTGTTGGACTTGCTCGGGGACACGGGGCTGCTTGGGTCAAAACCGTGTGATACGCCCATGGATCAAGGCGTGAAGTTACTGGCAGGAGAAGGGGAGCCGTTTGAAGATCCGGAGAGGTACAGGAGGTTAGTGGGAAAACTAAATTATCTCACAATTACCCGTCCAGATATTGCATTTCCAGTGAGTGTGGTTAGTCAATTCATGAGTGCACCGACCCAGACTCACTGGGAAGCGGCGGTTCGGATTGTGAAATATTTGAAAGGTGCTCCTGGAAAAGGGATCCTTTATGCTGACCACGGGTATATGCGTGTTGAGGCGTTCTCCGATGCAGACTGGGCTGGTTCACCAGGTGACAGGAAGTCTATGACAGGTTATTGTGTGTTTGTAGGAGGCAATTTGGTCTCGTGGAAGAGTAAGAAGCAGAATGTGGTGTCACGCTCGAGTGCTGAATCGGAATACCGAGCTATGGCTCATGTGGCGAGCGAAATAGTCTGGGTGCGTAACATTCTAAAAGAAGTGGGTGTTGAAGTGAAGTTACCGGTAGATTTGTGGTGTGATAACTGTGCTGCCATACACATCGCGAATAATCCGGTCTTTCACGAGCGGACGAAGCATATTGAAGTTGACTGCCATTTTGTACGGGAAAAAGTGGAGCAAGGACTCATATCACTTACACACGTTCGGAGCGGTGATCAACTGGCTGACATATTTACGAAAGGATTGTGTAAAAGTCGCGTTTCATATATATGTAACAAGTTGGGCATGTTTGATATCTATGCTCCAACTTGAGGGGGAGTGTTAGTAGGTTGTT